ACCCTAAATACCCTCAACCCTAAACCCTAAACCCTAAACCCTAAACCCTAAACCCTAAACCCTAAATACCCTAAACCCTGAACCATTAAAGGATACAGATTCATGGTTCACTTCGAGCGGTGGGCTTGTGGAGTCTGCACACCCTGGAGCAGAAGGTTCCCTGTAAGCGTTCTATCAGGGTTACTATACTACCATAATGACTACTAGATCTTACTATATCCTACCGTCTACTACTGTACTATACTACTGAAAGCAGTACCATATATTGCTATATCTTGCTGTACATTACTAAAGTTTAGGAGTTTTTATTGCATTTTGCGGGGTCCCGGTTGCCGTTTCCTTGCTCAGCATCCCTCGACGCCTTCTCTTGGCCTTGTTGGCTGTGCCTCTTGGCTTCGGCGCGCTCGAGGTTTTTTGAGCTACTATAGAAGCCTAAGTAATTACAAATATGATTTTTTAAGGGTTCCCTATTATAATTATAGACTATAAAGGAGCCCCAAACCCTATTCGAATTATTAAGGCCCCTATAATTACGTCATTTGCGTAAATGCCGGGAGTCTGTGGTGCATTCTCACGGCAGCAGGAGTCGCAAGCGGAATTATATCAGGTTTGGTCTCTTCTTTTTCGGATGTGTGGTCTCTCGGCCAGGCCTCTTCCTCAAAGATGGGTTTCTGATCAAAGAATACGAAACAATACTAGCACAGCGAAATCCGATCAGATGCAGGACATGGATAGTGTCCTGCACGTTTGAGATTTAGATGGTCATGGCAATCCGAGCTCCGGATCAAACTGGCCGCCCTCCTCAAGAGCACGGAGAAGCGCAACAACAAGTGCAAACACGCAAACCTGCATGACATTCATGCACAAGTGCACACCCAAGCAGCACAATCGCATCAAATTTGGCACAACAAGGCCACCACGACTGCTGTGCTATATTTGGGACTCAAAAGGGAATCGGGAACTTCACAGACTACTGTACTTGATGCCTAGTTAGGGGTTACTATAACCTCAACCGTGCGAAATATGATCACACGGAGAATCGATTAAGACAGGGGCCTAATTAATTACCTATACGAGTTTGGGGGGTTCCTTAGTATAGCCAGAGTAGAAAGCACTCCAAAATCCTATTCTAATTATGAAGGCCCCCAGATTAGGGCTCTTTCCTGGTGCTTCATCTTCTTCCGTTTCTGCCCACTCCGAGTGAGGTGGGGGCCTCACAGAAGTGGTGTCCTGGATCGCCGCGGCCAATTTTAGATGCACAGGCCAGGCTTCTTGAAGAGGTTGACTACTACTCTACTACTTCCACAGTTTCCATGACTTCAATAGACGATTTCACGACTTCGCTACCTTGCTACTCAATTCTTTTGTTTCTCTGCTACTTTACCACTGTATTGCCTTACTACCCTTACTAGCATGCTAGCTGCTTGCACCTACTGCTGATGCTACCCGTGCTCCTACTCATGGTTCCATAGCACGAGAGTTTGAGTAGAGGTGCCAGACTGCTACTTCAACTCCTGCTTCTTCAACTCCTGCTTCTGCTCATCGTTCTCTTGCTCCTGCCACTCCCGCTGCTGCTACACCAACAACAACAACTACTACTACAACCACTACCAGTACCACTGCCACATGCCACTACCGTTACCACCGATGACGACTGCGACTGGGACTCGGACTCGGATTCGGATAGAAAGTGAATGACAAGTACTCGTACTAATACAAGGAGTAGCATGAGTCAGAACATGGCAGTACTAGTAATAGTACGTCGTCGTTGTTGTCGTAGTAGGAGGATGAGTAGTAAGTAGTGGGGTTAGTGTGATGAAAGAAGTAGCAAGAGTTATGGTTATAGTACACATGGCGAGGTGCAGGAGTCGTGATGGTGGCGGTGCCGATTGGCAGTGGGGTCTGTGGCATGATGGTGGAAGCGGTGGCTGGTACTTGTGTTGGCGACAGTGGAGCTGTCTGCAATTGCGAACAGCTATGATGTGTTCGTTCTGAACCATACCCGCTTTGCGGCAGCAGCTTTGTGCACTGTACTGTAGCAGCAAACATGAGAGTTTAGGGGTTCAGGGTTTAGTGTCTATAGGGTCTTTAGCTCTAAGCCCTAAACCCTAAAACCTAAACCCCTAAACCCTCAACCCTAAATCCCTAAACCTCTAACCCACTTCCCCATCCTGTTGTCCCCTCAACGTGGGAGCAGGCGCCTGCCCTGCCGGGTCGCCGGCGTCCTGCACCAGGGTGCCCGAATAACGGTCAGTTTCTTGTTGTTTCGGCGGCGGATGTATATATATATATATACATACATACATACATACATACATACATACATACATACATATGTATGTACATGTGTATATGTATATTGTCATATGTATACGAATATGGTTTTTGTATGTGAAAGTATATGTCTATATGTGTATATGTGTATGTTTATGCATAAGTATAACTATAAGTATAAGTATATTTTTATGTATATGTACATGTATATGTATATGTATATGTATATGTGCATGTATGTGTAAGCATGTGTGTATACAGACCAAAAATGTGCATATGTATGTATGTCTGCCTGTCTGAGTGTATGTATGTATGTATGTATGTATGTATGTATGTATGTATGTATGTACGTATATAATTATTGATAGTTGTGCATGAGTGCCTGTAACTATGCTCAATATACATGTAGGCATATGTATATATGTGTATATGTATCTATGAATATGCGCATATGTATATGTGCGTATGTATATGTGCATATAATTAGATGTGTATCTGTATATGTGCATATGCATATTCTCATGTATATGTATACGTATATGTATATGCATATGTAAGCATACACATACATCTATCTATCTATATATATATATGTATACGCATGCATATGCGTACGTGTGTATGTGCATGTCTATGCTTTGGTACAAGTGAAATTATGTATATGTATTGATATGTATTTGTACGATGCATTCGTGCCACCACCTCGCGTCCAACAGGGAATGTGCGGGGCCCCAAGGCTCTCTCGTACCTTTATTTGGGGGTCCTTATAACAGGGATCCTACTATTTGGGGTACTATATTTGGGTCCCCTATTTTCGGAAACCCCCACTTGCGATCAACGTGGCAGGCGTCCGGCGCATGACCGCTGCACCCTCACTGGAAGCAGCTCACCGTGACATCGCGGAGAAGGTGGGATGGTAGTGTGCAGCAATGACAATATATAGTTCGCATGTTGGTAGTGAAGATAGTAGCAATCTTCATAGCAATACCAACAGTAAACACAATTTAATGATAAAACTACCGCCGAAACCAGTGACATGAATTATTGGTTTTGTTTTCGGTGGTATATGTGTTATCACTAGCGTCATTCACTGCACAAGGGATAAGACGCCCCTAAACCCAAAGCCTGAACCTCAAACCCTAAGCCCTTACCGTCTCAACACCTCTGCTCGTTCCTGGAACCTTGTCCGACAGCTTGGCCTCTGGCCTACTGTAGAAGCGGAGGTAGTCGAAATGTGACAAGAGAGCTCATGAATCCGTGAGCTGTGCTAACCGGCTTCGCAGATGCCCTTCCGCTGCGCAGCCTGCTTGCAAAACCTTGCACACCCTAAACCCGAAACCCTAAAGCCCCAAACCCAAAACTAAAGCCGAGCTCAGGGTTATACCGTCTCGCGCCTGGGCGCAGCCGCAAGCGTCCGAGACATGGAGAAGGTGGGCAGCAGGTGAGTTACGGTTAGTTGCGCCAAGTCAGTTACACGGCTTCCGGCACTTGGTTTGGCTGTTGGTTACAGCATGTCAGCCGCTTCAGCGCCGAATCTTTCCCATCCGTTGAAAGTGTTCTTGCCAGCAGCGGATGGACCAGGCACCGCGTATACGCTCGTGAATGGTCCAACATTGATTATATGTGATGAAACAGATGCATGTTACTATGTTGCTTCTACTTCTTGCCTATATGACGATCATTTGAATAAACATATTGCGGTTGTGCAGCATGTTAACTTTCTTAAGAACCAGCAATAATGAACGTTGCAAATCACAGCTCGAAGACGACTAGACAACCCTCCCTTAAAAAACTCCCGCCATTGTCGAGCATGCCTGTGTAAGTCAGCAGCCGTTAAAAAAGCGCTCAATGTCGATGCGCATTTCTTGCAGATACTCCAAAAGCGTCTCAGAGTCTAAGATTGAGCCATGTTAAGTAGCTTCGGGGACGGCTTTGTCTTGTTCTCCGCACTTTCGGCCTGTCAGGCAGCATATTCAGCTGAGCCTGTTGTAATGGACCTACTAGAGGGCCAGTGTTGCTGCAGATGAGAGCGAAGGTGTTGTTTACGAGTCCACAGGTGTTTGCAGCAGTTGCTTAGAAGCAGCTACAGTTACATGAGTTCGGATTCTCGTTGCCAGGTTGCTTTGCAGCTGATGCACGTGGATCCCAGCACCGTGGGGAGTGCCATGGCTGCCCCATCCGTTCCCAAGCCCCTTCTCGCTTGCGCTTGTCTAGCACTGATCGGATGTTGCCTTGCACCCAGAGAACCCAATATACCTTAATTAAGGAATATACCTTTAGTTATAGGGGCTTTAATATTATGATTTAAGGTATATTCCTTAATTAGGGGGTATTGGGTTCTCTGGGCATGTGTCCGTGAAGCAACTGCAGAGCTGCGCTCTTCTGAGTTGCCTGACAGTGGGTGGCCAGCAAGCCTAATCCCTAACCACCCAGGTACCGACTATATAGGGTACTAGAGCCCCTAAGGGCCTAGTAGGTACCTGGAGGGATAGGGAATGAGATTGTCGACATGTTCTGCAGTCCATCTTTGTTGCGACAGTGGCTTTGTGCTTCGGCTTGACTGCTGAGTCACCTGGTGCAGTACCACGCGGGACCAAGCCACGTCATGCAATGACAGATGTTGAAGGCTCAAGGGACTTAGTAAGTGAGGCTATAGTTGGGGTTGTAAGAACCCCAAGTAGGCTTCTCAAACCTACTATGACCTTGCTAAGTCCCATGTCCCGTTAAGTAGCATCGCCGCCCTACCCAAGGGAGTGCAGAGTCTCCAGGAAAAGCTGTGCTCCCTCACACCGCTAGCCGGGTGTGGGGCTTCCTTTGTGGGACGGCCAGCTTTGGCCGTCGCGCCACTCTTTGGGGCCAACGCGTCTCTTGAGGCTGGACGTATGACAGCAGGGCAGTCTTGCGTTTTCGCAGGACATGAGCTAACGCGCCTGCTGGGGAGTGGTCTGGACAGGTGCCGACACGATTGTTGTAGCCTGTCTTGCACATGCGGATTCGTGCTTCGACCCCTGTCAATGTGGACGAGTGCGTGCAGGGAAGGCTTCTCACACATCGATTGAAGTGTCTGAGGTCGTGTCTAGAAACCGGTATAGGGAAAAGTGTGTAAGATATGGCATGAAACCTATCTTTCGAGGCCCCTGCTCATGGCCTTACCCACCGGGGCACAGAGCCTCTCACCAAATGGCTGTGCTCCTTCACACCGCTGGCCGGGTGTGGGGCGCCGCGTGCAGCTTGGCTTTGGCCGTAGCGCCACTCTTTGGGGCCAACGCGTCTCTTGAGGCTGGACGTATGACAGCAGGGCAGCCTTGCATCGTTGCAAGGCATGAGCTAACGCGCCTGCTGGGGAGTGGTCCGGATGCGCGTCGACCCCGGCTTCACGGGGTCGACGGGTGGTTCGTGCAAGCGGCTCTGCAGGGGAGGCCCGTCCTAGGATTTGGAGCTTGAAGGGGCGTTCACTTTCCATCCAAGCATATCCAAGCCATGGATCGACATGCTATCCCGAAGGGTACTTATATAGGGGTACTTACCCAAACCATAGTAGCAATTCCTATCACAGAAACATAGCAACCCTAGTTTCTATTTTCTACTACAGGGACTTCGGACTCGACTTTGTGGGTATAACGTACCTGTCGTCAGCCGCAAAAAGCAGAACGCTCAACCTCCCTTCGAGCGTGCCATGATGTGAGAAGTCGAGGATGTGTTTCGGGTTGATTTTATGGCAGGATTTGGATCTTGAGACTGGCTTCGAGGGGTCCAAGCAAATTTAAGTACGATATAAATACTTGCCTGCATCTTCTAAGTTCCAGGACTGCCACTTTCTTCAGCACGCTGTATGGTTTGTGGATCCTGCAGCCTGTTGTCATCAAGTGTCAGTCAATGCCTCTCTCAGACTGACACACTTAGGGTTTAGGGTTTAGGGTTTCGGGACCATGGTCGCCTAGCACATGGGAGCACAGGGCCTTCGATATGCTTCGTTCAGCCTGGTAGCTTCAATTCTTCGGCCCAACGCGTCTCTCGCTGCCCTCGTGAGTGGTCCAAACCGGCAGAAGTTGAGCATCTTCGGTGCAAACGGTTCTGACTCTGATGCTGCAGGCAAAGCCTGCCCTCTTGAAGGCCCAAGAGCAACTCGCAAAATTGTTCGGGAACTTTTGCAACGAATGTCTGATTTCGCACAGGGGCGGGGCAGGGACTCGACTAGAGTCTAGAGTTGGTAGCTCTGGGTAGTTCTGTCGGCACAAGGCCTTAGAAGCGGCCAGCCGCGAAATCCCGGATACCTCGCTTCGTGAGTCTACAGCCATGTGTCATGATGCGCGTGTTGTGAGGGAAGAGAAATTGGGAGCGGCGTGCCCGGAAATGCATTATCTGCACATCATGGCGTGGAACCTACCTTGAAAGATACACAGTGTGCATTGTCCTACCCACAGGGGCACAGAGCCCCTCACCAAACGGCTGTGCTCCTTCACACCGCTGGCCGGGTGTGGGGAAGCTGCTTGCAGCTTGGCTGGCTTTGGCCGTAGCGTCACTCTTTGGGGCCAACGCGTCTCTTGAGGCTGGACGTATGACAGCAGGGCAGCTTTGCATCGTTGCAGGGCATGAGCTAACGCGCCTGCTGGGGAGTGGTCGGGGCGTGCGTCGACTCCGCTGTCGTTGTGCGTCCCGTGCCAGCGGCTCTGCAGGGGAGGCCAACCTTGAGACTTGAAGCTGGAATTGAAGCTCGAAGACAGCCTCACTCACAGACTCATATTGTACTTTTCTATAATTACAAAAGGAACCCCAAAGTGGTAGTCATTTAGGCCCCCATAGTACACATGTTCCTGCAGACCCTGCTGGGCCCAGCCTCAATTCCGAGGAGTCTTCGGAAACTCTTTTAGTCGAAGGGAACTGGTTTTGCAGATCTTCCCCTAAACCCCAAACCCCAAAGAGAGCGGAAGAAGCCAGGCCTTTTCGTACTCGCCGTACAGCTCCAATTATGTCTAAATTAGGTCAGGGGCAGCCTGGAGACGATTTGTTAGCGCTGCCTGCTGCATGCCCTCCAGCCCTGCTGAGCAGAGCCCTGACATATGGAATCTT